CTCTTCCACTTGAGCCACAGCGCCACTCCCGGCTTTTTTCTTTTTGCTTATGTGGTGCTGAGGAATCGAACCCAGGGCCTCATGCATGCAAGGCAAGTGCTCTACCAGTGATCCACCTTCCCAGCCCCTAGATTTTATTCTTTAAGCTACCTATTCCTAAATCCTATCTTTGTTCCCTGAGCACCTTGATGGGTAAATTTTTCTTGGATGTTCTCTTTTACTCTTTGTTTTTCCATTTTGTTTTTCCATTTCTATTGCCATATTCTCAAATTGAGAAATATTTTCCTCAGCCTCTAAAGTATACTGAGTCCATATTCCTACTTCTACTGATGAGTCCATCTTTTACTAATAAGCAGTCTTCATTTTTGACCTAGCATTTCTTTGATTCTTAGATTTTCCATGCTTCTGCTCACACACTGCCCAGGTTTTTGCATGCTATGTACTTTATCCTTTAAAACCCTGAGCATAATCATAATTGTTATTGTTGTTGTTTAAATCACATTTTGTAATCCCAGCTACTCAGGAGGAGAGACTAGGTCATGCCTTGGAAAAAAGTTAACAAGACCTTATCTCAACAATCAAGCTCTGTGTACATGCTTGTGATACCACCTACATAAAAGGAGGTGTAGGTGGATGGCAGTCCCAGAATACTCTGGGCAAAAAGAGACTGTATCTGAAAACTAACCTAAAGTAAGGATGGCCAGAAGTGTGGTTCAAGTGGTAGAATACTTGCCTAACAAGCACAAAATCCTGAATTCAAATGTAAGGACCACAAAAAATCCAGTTTGATAATTCTTTCATCCCTTTCATATGTGTATATGTTCTGGATCCTAGCCCCGTCTCTTCAAATTGTGTTTTTTTTCCTTCTTATGTGGTTTCTAGTTTTATTCTTAACATGATGTATGAGTAAATACAGCTTCAAGACATAGGCATTTAGAAATGTGCTAGTAGTGTCAGGAGATGGAAACGCTTGTTACAGTTTTATCATTGGTTATTGGATTTCAGAGGTGTTTGTTTGTTTTTTGATCAGTCATGGGGCTTGAACTCAAGGGCCTGGGAGGGGTCCCTGAGCTCTTTTGCTCAAGACTGGCTCTCTACCACTTTGAGCCACAGCGAC